ACAGTATAAAGGCTTGGTAAAAATATTAGGTTGTGTAAATAGAATACTCGGTTCATATGATATTACAAAGACAATTTTCCGAAGAAATGTTGTTGAGATCAAAACTTTGAACCATACTTGCTGGTATTATGAACTGCTATAGATTCGACTTAACTGCGGCGGTTAGACTCTTCTTTGCTAAAAAACATATTAATATTTCCAACAAGTTCTGCGGAATTTTGTATGCTAATCCTTTCAACGACTTCTTACCTTAAAATGATCCAAAAAATGAAATAAAAGTTTTGAAATATGTCTTTAAAATAGTTAAGTTATTTCCTTTTTTTGTTCAAATTTTTAAAAACTGATCATAATAATAATAAGCAATAATTTTATCTTAGCTTTGTAGGTAAACAATTAAACAATATAGTATTACGTATTACATAATTAATTAAATTCAATTAATCTGAAAATCGTTTTCTATAGAGTATATAAATAAATGTATATGCAATAAAAACACATTTATGTTTATAAATAATAATAGACCCGGTCTCATTTCATTAAAATGTGATTTTTGATAGGAAAGAAAATAAGGAAAGTGATAGATGGAAAAGGGTGGGAGAATAGTTTTACAATGTATTAAAAAAAAAAAACAAAATTCAACAAAAGTAAATAAATTTTAGCTAAAAAACCAAAGTTAATCTTTTGTAAAAAATATATAATATCTAAACTAAATAAATAACAAACAAAACGCAAGCAATTGAATAAAAAAACATAACCCCGATCTATATAAACGAGATTGAAATGCATTCATAATAAAAGGCAAACTAAAATTGCTACAACGCCTGTTTGTTTGGTTGTTGTTGTTGGTTGTTTCGCTGGAAGATGGTTTAAATGTCAATATTGTAGTTATTCATTATCGTATATAGCATTAAATAATAAATATTATTACATTATATAGAATTTTATTTCTCAAAGTCTATTTAAGAGTAAAAGGAGGGGGAATAAAAATAGTGATCGTACATCAATCACTTAGTGAATTTTTTTCTTTGTCATCGTATTTTTCTGCGTAATTGGATTTGTTTGTCGATGCATGTAAAAAAACAACGTCCTTTATAACCTATAAAAATAAATAATAAATCTCCCGACAATTAAAGGCGGCGCGGCACCAAATATAAACGTCAAAGGGCAAACAAACACATGCTGAAAATAAAACAAAATAAATAATTATTTATGGCATATATAATATGAATATAATAAATTATTATAGAGTATCGACGACTTCATTGAAATGTTCGCGGTGAAATTGCAACTTTAATTAAATAATGGAGATTTTAAAACCTAATCTTGTAAAATTCGGAGAAAAAGCTTAGTACAGAGAAGACATCAACCTCCTCTGGAAAAGCTAACTCCAAGGTTCGTGGTCAGAGACAGAGGAAGCCATATGACAGACAAACCACCGTAGCTGCTGACGAAGACCCTCAAGTGACAATCATTGACAAATTGGTTGTTGTTTGAAGCAGCCCTTCGGTCGGCTATCGTCTGTGGTTCGGATCAGGGGGGCTACTCTGTATTGCGATGCGTGAGAAAAATTGTAACGCATCGCGTAATTGGTACTCTCTAATTCGTTTTCGTATCTCCTTTCGCATCTACTTTACGCAAATGTAGCATCACCGCACTCTGTAATACGAAAACGCATGTCAAACTCGTTCGTTAAGCGCAAATATCTTGCGTTAACAAAATAGCAAACGCAAAGGAAGCGAAACATATAAGTAAGCTCCATTAAAGGTTTTATTTATATATAAATTGTAAATTATTTCAAGTAAAAGGCAAAAAAGTCACAGTTACAGGCTCAGCAACGTCAGTTCCTAACTTCAGTAGATTTTATGGGGCAACACAGTGATTTGGCAAAGGGACAGTTGCAGAGTTCAAATGCGAAACGCGCCAACAATTTGTGGACAAAACTGTCTGATGACCTCAATTCAAATTGACCTCCTGTAAAAGATGTCGGTGGTTGGAAAAAGTAATATATTATTTTTTTATATAAAATGTGAAGCTATGTGTGCATATTTATAGGTTGGTGTTGATAACCACCTTGTCCAAGCAATTTCAAAGCAGCGGCCTCTTTTATTGGAGTTGGAATTGTTGTGGATCTATTTGAAACGACGAGCGTTTAAAAAATACATAAACGAATCTTTATTGAGACATTTTATATAAATCTATAAAAATTAAATATTTGAAAACATTTGTCACATAATTCGTACTTATATTTTCATACCCGTGGTCACTTAGGGAGAGTATATTTGATAGATCTCATAAAATTCTTTTTTTTTAATTCGTTCATCATTTTTGTTTAAAAAAACACTCGTCCACACAAAAATATGTTTTCATTTACAATTTTTTGACGTTTCCTTTTGTCATTCTTCGTTATTGTTTACTTTGTGGCGACAGTGTTGCCCTATTTTCAATTTAGTTTGCGAATGCGTTTGCGTGAACGTTACAGAGTACCAAATTGTACTCTTAACGCATTTAGCTTTCGCATCGCACTTGCTTTCGCAACGCAATACAGAGTAACCCCCCAGGGGGATCGTCAGTTTGGCAGTGCCTTCATGCAGAAGGGTGCCAAAGTCATAAACTGCTTGAAGAGGAAATCGGGAGATTTCCTCGTGAGAACTGTCGACGGCTTTGGTACACTCTGGGAAGGAGTCATCCTTGCTGCGGTCTCCTTATCTGTGATCCCAACCAGACGAATCCTATCAGCCTGGGTTCCCCCACCTTCAGTGGACAAGGAACTCCTGCTGAAAATGTCGGCGCTGTAAAATCCCAACCTCACTACATCGAGTTGAGTTGTGCAACATAAGGAAAATTATGTAAATCGATTTAAAGCAAACTTGGCACACCCTATTTGGTATGCTGCTCTGTTTAAAATTTAATCTCAATCAGACACCCACGAAATTATATATGGAAGCTATGCTATATATAAATCTGAACCAATTTCAAGGAAACTTGCCAGAAACTAATTTATATTAACTTCAATACGTTGGGTCTATCGGTCTACCTTTGGGTCTTTAGGCACCATTTACTTAAAATCGGACGAAACTATATATATATATATAGGAGGTATATGTAAATCTGAACCGATCTTGACGAAACTTATCACGCATCATTCTAGACTTAATTTAGTACGCTATGCCAAAATTCGTGCAAATCCAAAGATTTTCAGGGACTTTGTTGTTATATATGGAAGCTATGCTATATATAAATCTGAACCAATTTCAAGGAAACTTGCCAGAAACTAATTTATATTAACTTCAGTACGTTGGGTCTATCGGTCTACCTTTGGGTCTTTAGGCACCATTTACTTTATATCGGACGAAACTATATATATATATAGGAGGTATATGTAAATCTGAACCGATCTTGACGAAACTTATCACGCATTATTCTAGACTTAATTTAGTACGCTATGCCAAAATTCGTGCAAATCCAAAGATTTTCAGGGACTTTGTTGCGGCATTTACCTAAAATCGGGCGAAACTATATATGTGACCTATATGTAAATCTGAACAGATTTTCACAAAAATTAGCACACGTCATTCTAGACTTAATTCAATACGCTGTGCCAAAATTCGTGTAAATCGAATAATTTTCAGGGACTTTGGTGCACAATTTACCTAAAATCTGGCGAAACTATATAAGAGAGCTACATCTAAATCTGAACCGATTTTCACGAAACTTAGCACATCATACTAGACATAATTCAGTACGCATTGCCAAAATTCGTGTAAATCGAATAATTTTCAGGGACTTTGGTGCACAATTTACCTAAAATCTGGCGAAACTATATAAGAGAGCTACATCTAAATCTGAATCGATTTTCACGAAACTTACCAGACTTAATTCAGTACGCTATGCCAAAATTCGTGCAAATCCAAAGATTTTCAGGGACTTTGTTGTTATATATGGAAGCTATGCTATATATAAATCTGAACCAATTTCAAGGAAACTTGCCAGAAACTAATTTATATTAACTTCAGTACGTTGGGTCTATCGCTCTACCTTTGGGTCTTTAGGCACCATTTACTTAAAATCGGACGAAACTATATATATATATAGGAGGTATATGTAAATCTGAACCGATCTTGACGAAACTTATCACGCATCATTCTAGACTTAATTTAGTACGCTATGCCAAAATTCGTGCAAATCCAAAGATTTACAGGCACTTTTGTGCACCATTTACCTAAAATCGGGCGAAACTATATACGGGAGCTATATTTAAATCTGAACCGATTTTCACGAAAGTAAGCACACGTCATTCTAGACTTAATTCAGTATGCTATGTCAAAATTCGTGCAAATCGAATGACTTTTAGGGACTTTGGTGCTCCATTTACCCAAAATCGGACGAAAATATATATGGGAGCTGTATACAAATCTGAACCGATTTTCTCCAATTTCAATAGGGTTCGTCCTTGGACCAAATGACTAGTGCCAAATTTCATCCAAATCGAATTATAAATGCGACCTGTACTTTGTTTACAATTTATCATCAACAGACGGACGGACATGCATAAATCGAAGAGGAACCATGGGTCTATCTCGATTCCCTTTGCCTGTTACAAACATATGCACAAAGACCACAGTGTGGTGAAGGGTATAATAATTGTAGTCGGGGCTGTTAATGTAGCAAATAACATTCGAATTTTTTATTGTTGTTTCTTCTGCAAGCAGTATTAGCTGCCACCATAGAGAATTAGTGACAGGGACCTTGCTTTGGTAGCTGCGTCGGATACCATGTTCCCCCCTCCACTATTAAATCATGCATACGGTATTGTTCTACTACGTGATAGGTCTTTAGATGGATAGTATTTTGTATATTATATTTAAAAAAATATTCAATTAAACTTACTTCATTTTTTTTAAATATATCAACCAATTATCCATTAAATATGTCTTCATGTGTTGTATGAGTGTGTTTAACGGGAGGGAGTCTTGGGGTATTGTTGTTGTTGTCGATTTGCATGTCCTTTTCTTCTCGTCAAATTTAATAAATACGTTCGTAGAACAGCAAATACGCTTGGGCTTTTAAAACTTCACTTTCGCTGGCATCTGAAACACGGGAATCGGATACATAATACCATTTACCCATTGGCACCTGGACATTAATGGCCTCATCTATACCACCGACAGCACCTTCAGGTTCATCATTATGACCGCCATCCGGTGACGTTGGCGAATCATCAGGTTCAGAAGATGACGACGAAGCACTCGAATCCAAGCTACTGTTGCAAGAATTCGAAAAATCGTCGCTATCATTGGCTGCCTTCATGCGTAAATCGCGCGCCTTTTCTCGCGCCAAAAGCTCTTCGAGTTTTTTACGTTGTTCATCGTCTTGGTCCAATTCGGCTTTGCTGCCTTGTGGTATGAATTTCCAACGTTTGTCATCTTTGCTGAGTTTGGGTCGCACCTTGACATAGGCCGTGTAATGGCCACCATACATGCTACCCGAATGTTCCACAACACCATATAGGGCATATAACAATTTCTTTTGTTTACGATCAATGTTGGGAAGATTCTTGACTTTGGAGCCACAGAATGGTGCAATATCCAGTATCATGGGGAAACTAACATGCCCCGTCAATTTGCGAAAGACAAAACGTTGTCCCAATTGGAAACGTTTCAAATGTAATATCAGTACAGCCGGTGGACTAGAGATCAGGAACTGTTTAGTGGCATTTGTATTGACGGTCTTGGCCTTGGGGTCATCGCCGTTGATACGTTTTGTACAGGCCTCGCAGCCAACTTTATTGTTGCCAGTCATCAATTCCACGGCTGTGAAATTGTTAAGGCATGATTGGACCGAGCATTCACCATCTTCACATTGATAGCGTGGCGCTATTGTGGTACTCCAATCGGAATAGCTTTGGGTACGCGAACGTTTCGCTTTGGCACGGGCAGATTTCTTCTGTTGTTGTTCATCGTTTTCAATTTGTAAGCGATCGAGTTTATTAATTACGGATTGCATTGCAGCAGAATTGTCGCCATTTTCTTCCGATTTAATGTCACCATTAGTGAGTGTTGTTGTAGTCTCGTCTGTGTTAATGCCATTGCTTAATTGTTTAAGTAGATTAGCTCCCTTCTCGTTGAGACCCAATGAGAAAACACTATTTGTGGTTTTGGTTTCAATTATATTTGCATCACCATTCGTTTCAGAATTTGATGTCGAGGAGGCAGGAAAACTTGCACCACCAGCATTGGCAGGGCTTGTGGCAATACCGGAATCTAAAAGATATGTAAATATAGGGAATATACAAAAATCCAAAGCCAATTAACTATGACTTATGATCTACTTACCATTTTCGTCTTCATCCAGCGAATCCTTGTCCATATTTTCCGGTGAATCACCTCGCTTTTCAACAGGGCTTGTAAGCTGGTTATTGCCATTCCGATCAATGTTATTTAACGCTTTCGCATTTGCTGAGGTATTTAATGGTTTTGTGGGACACTTGTCATTGTCATCCAAGAGATTATCTTCGACATCGGCATCCGATTGTTCAGCAGAAGATGAAGATTCCGCCGACAATGCACCCGTCGTTCTGTCATCAGCTTCTTCCCTTGTAGCACAACCAATAATGGGTACAGCATCTTCTGTGATGTTGGCATTATCTCCATCACCGCCACCACCACTAGTTGGTGTACTATTCTGCCCCTCAGCTGAGCCAACTTTCTGGATTTGCTGCTTGGTATGCTGGTGCTTAGCATGACGTTTTGCCTTACGTTCCTTTTTCGCCTCCTTCTTCAGTTGTGACTTTGTTGGACCAGTAGGTGAGGTGGCTGGAGCAGGATGTAGGTAAAATGAATTGGCGTTATCCGGTGATGTTTTACGTCGCATTGCTGGGGGTTGTGATTTTTCAACGCTTACAGGCAAAGACATATCCAGAAAGTATTCATGTCTTGAACTGACATTGTAACAATCTTGACATGTCAGCGTGGAAACTAAGAAGCCGCGAAAAACTTTTTCAGGCATTAGTATACGATCGGCAGCTTGATTACCATAAATTTTGCATTTTCTTTTCATATCATCGGAAGCAGATTTGGCGTCTTGATCTTTGCAGCCGAGATTTTGTAGAATGACACGTTGGTACCGTTTTAAATCTTCGGATCTAAAAAAATATTTATATAGTCGGAAAGTAATTAATGACGATCGGGTCTTATGCTAAAAATTAAATTGAGCGATGTAATACATAGGCTTAGTGACATATGATGGCAGAACAACCATAATTATTTTGAATATGAAGTCGACCAACAGTGTCCGTCCGAAGGAATAAATATGGTCGGGCATGGAGCCTTGCAATGCATTAACCACTCATTCCAAAGTTTATCAAACCATTTGCATATTTACCTCACACTTTCCAATAACTGTCTGAGAAGCTCATGAGAATCATGTTGATCGCCACCTTGAAATTGGGGACATTTGGTGGTTAGTTTATTCAAAAGTTTGCTGGGATTAAATACGCCACCTGTACAAAGAAACCAAAGAATACTTTATAACAAAAATGCCGAAATAAAATTTACAAAAAACTTACCTCCCGACTGCAATTCTTCTAGAGTATTGGCCAGAGCCGAAGTTAAACCACCCCAGGCTGTTAATGTGCCCTTAATGGGTGGCAATTTTAAAACTTCATCATTATTGATATCAAATGTACCACCGGGTAGGGTAAATCTGTAAACATAACAAATATTAAAATTTACAAAAAATAAATAAAAAACAGTTAGATGATGCTCACTCTTCTCCCGGTTCAGCGGATTCCTTTAAGACATCCAAAAGGTAAGGTGTTTGGGCCAAACACTGCAAAACTGCATTGAAAAAACACGTATTACCTAAATTGGTTAGACCACGAACCCTGGGCAGAGGTTCATTTAATGGCGATGTGGTTATTCGCATGCCCAGTGTTGAATTCGTTACACTACTACCAGCTGCTGTACGGCCGCCACCTGCCGTCGTTATTATGGGCGGTAAATTATTGAAATTACTATATGTGGTGACCAAAGGTTCGTTATTGGTACGTTTGGCCATTCCCGGTATTGGAGGCAATGGTGGTGCTGGCAATGGTATGGCTTTATTTATTCCCGTAATATTATTGCAATCGGTGTTAACTGTACCGCTTGATTGAGGTGTGGTAGCTAAATTATCATCAGTCGATACCAATGGACGTAAAGATTCCCAGGCGCCCAAAATCATATTTTCAACATTTTGTACAGGTGGCTTTTGGGCCAAACCCTTTACAAATTCCACGCAATCGAGAAGATTTTTACGCGAATCGGGCTTTACATCATTGTCACAGTCATAACACCATATATCAAAGGAACGTGTATTCATCGCTAAGGCATGACAATCGGAGCGGGGTGTCTTGAAAATATAATTCGTATAAAAAAATAATTTATTCATTACAATAATTCAAGAAAAGTGACAATTGTTAATCAAATCAAAAATAAAACAAAATTTCATGTCATATAGAAAATTAATTAATTTTTTATTACAATGCTATACAAATCTGATATCTTTGACTTCTTATTTTTTATATTCAGCAATCCTCCAAAAAATTAACATCCCATAAATCTCAGAGAAATCTCTCTATAAAATCGAATAACTGCAATTCTTCTTAATTCTCTTTTGCGGAAGTCCATTTTTCTGAGTTATATGCTTCATTCATTGTTATAATTTCGAAATTAAATGTTTTATTATGCTGTCCACCGATCTTCAGATTTGCAGAAACTTAAAATCCATCTGTCTGGAGTTTTCATAATATATATATATGTATATATGTATATAATACCTCATTATTTTAGGGATCAAAACAGAGACTGCAAAAATTAGGTCTTTATTTTCCAAATGGAATGTTAATGGATTCGACTTCTAGCGTCTATGTGAGGAAGAATAAGAAGGGTGAATGACAGACAGCAATAGTAGTTTAAATCGGAAGGGGCTTTGAAGACGTAACGGGGCTCGATTTTACAGACATTGCTAGTACTCCTAGGATGTTTCGTATTGTGAATGGGATATATCGGTCAACGTTGTGGGGATTTTTGACACGATTTCCAACTGAATTGGTTGTATTTTGGGTTCTTACTGAATAACACATACCCGTACCAACAATTATTAGAATTGGCCTAAGTTTCAGGGTAGCCCCCATATAACGGCACCCCCCACCCATATTCGGTATTTTAAGGATTTTGGACACATTTTCCAACCGAATTGGATGTAATTTGGTATTTTGGCTTCTCATTGTATAATACATCCCTGTATTAAAAATTAGTAATATTGAACCAATTTTCAGTGTAGCACCCATATAACGGAACTCCCCAAAACTCGGTATTTTTGACACTTTTCCCAATATAACGGTCGGGCCGAACAAGTACTGCGATATAGAGCTCTAAACAAAGTGCTGAAACTGTCCCAGTACTGATTTCGCCCGAAAAAAATGTATTTTATGGGAATCAGTATTAGTAGGACTACCTATGGTGGCACTGAAAGTTTTCGGTTAAGTGTAACAGCGTAACTTTCTCCGGAAGTATGAACTTCCGCAAACAAAAAAATTTTACATCATTTGTAAAAAAATTTTCAAAATGATCCTCGACCGGGCTCTAAACGAAATAGGTTCCAATCTCATTCATAATTACCTTAAAATGATGCAGAGCATGTTGATTCTTGGAACGACCACACAGCTGTGAACCACATTTCAGACACAACCACAACGTATTATCATATTCAATGTCCACGGATGATGGTGATTCTGATGCCTCGGTTGCCGGTGAGGTAAACCCCATTCTTTGGCATTCTGTACAATCCAATAGTAGGCCGGTACCCTTCAAAAGTTTGCGTAACTTGGCCGAATCGACGGCACGCTTCAAATGTGGACAGGAACGTGTGACAGCAGTGGGACTTGTTTTCTCCTCACCCGAATCTGATGAACCATCATCCCAGTTATCTGGTTGATGATTTTTACCCATGATTTCTACGTTGTTGATGATTGAAAAATGAAAACAAGCGGCGGAAGTTGTTGGTTTGTCTAAAAATACAACAAAGATAAAGAAAATTTGATTGTATAAACAATTGTTATAATAATTAATGTGTTAACATGGATTATGGATGAAAATTGCAAATTATATTTGCAATAATAATAATTGTGGTCAATAACAATCACACAGAAATTGATTTACTTCTTTCCTCTTCTTCTAATAAAAAATTGAGGTTAAGTTTATAATGTGTTGTATTGCTGTCGGGCAGACGGCGTATGGTTGTGTGTACATTTTTTTTTTATTTTCTTGCTCTAACAGCAAAAACAATAACAACACTGCCACCATCTAATTGTCATTTTCATAGATTTCTTTGTAACACCTAGGTTTTTAACACAAAACTCTTTGTTTTAATAAAAAACAACAACAGCACACAAATACATTAGCATCACAAAAAAAAAAACACCGGAAGAAAATCGGACAGCAGTCATTGACATTTGCCGTATCGTAAAAATAACTGGAATAAATCTATATTAAATTAAATCTGTATAATTCGTAGAATATCAGATACAGGAGTAGTTGAGATCCTATTCCATGTGAAATCCGTCCTGTAAACCCTTCGATTTTTTACTAGGCCACACAATGTTATTTTTTAACTGCAAAATTACATCGGCTGTTGTTGTTTTTCTTTTCTTTGTTGTAGCAGCTCTGTGTCGTTGTTGTTTTGTTCTTTGCACAATTTTCCCTTGACCGTCTTCTTAAGTGTTCTCGTTTTTTCATGCCGAGTGTCACAGAAGAAAAGTGAAAATCATGTTCCTAATTTCCACATCCCAGTTTTTACAGCAGTAACAGATATTCTCAAATCACCTTTCGTGCTGTGCTCTCCGTTTTATATTGGTTGCAAAATGCACAATAATTGTATTCGATTTTTTTGTTAAATTACAATTTATTTTGTTAAAATTAATAATGACGCTTTGGTCGTCTAATCACTTTATAAAAAATTTTAGCATTTTTGTATGCAGTGGTGCTATTGGAATGTACTATTCCGATTTGGAATTTTGCGGAATACGTAAATTATCAACCATGTTGAGCAACGTGAGTTCAGTGTTGCAAATATGTAGCACCAATTTTTAAAATATGGCATCACTATTTTTATTGGGGGGTTGTTCGAAATAAACAACAGATGGCGCCCAATTGGAGATTATTTCTGTAAATTGAAATTGAACGCCTTAACCCCACTAATAGCGATCTGTTACGATATTAATTGTAGAAATTATTTATTATTGACACAAAAATATAATTTTTATATTACAACCAGTAAGGAAAGTAGTAAAGCCGGACTGGGCCTACTATATGATACACTTCACCACTTTATGTATATTGTACATATGTATCCTACCAACTTCATGTCAATGTTCCCTCGAAGGTAAATATACCTTTCTGCAACCTATGCTAAATTCAATTTCAATCGGGCAGATTTAGAATCGTTTGCTTACAATGGGACAAATTTTTATAGATCTATTTATATTAACCCTTTCAGTGTTTTTGTCGAATATGTTCGACATTTAAAATTACTGTCTTTCTTTGCGATTTTTCGGTTATCCTATGTACCGTTACAATTGATGTTTTTGTTTTGACAAAACTATCCGGGGAATAAAATAAAAATTGTTTTTTTCAAAACTCTGTGCCTTTATATGATTTTAAATACAACATTTTAGATTTTTATTCCGACAACAATTTTTTTTGACACTGAAAGGGTTAAATTTGGCACACGTGACTCAGTATGCCGCACTGTTAAAAATATAATCTCAATCAGACGACACCCGTTCGACATGTATATGGTATGATGTGTAAAATGTCGTGTCAATCGGACAAACTTTAGGAGTTTGGTGCATTATTTACCTAAAATAGGACTAAAATATATATGTAGGACCTATATCTAAATCTGAACCGATATTCTCGAAACTTAACACACCTCATTCCAAACTCAGTACGTTATGCCAAATTTGGTGGAAATCGAAATTTGGAGGGATTTCCGTGCAACATAAAATCTTGACACAATTTTCAGGTTCATCATTATAGAAATATATATAGGGTACACCATTTACATTAAATCGAACGAAATTAGATATGGGAGCTATTTCTATATCTGAACCGATTTTCTCGGAACTTAACATATGTAATTCTATACTCAATTCAGTGCACCATGCCAAAATTTCGGGAAAATGGGAAGATATATAGGGGCTTTGGCACACCATTTACATTAAATCGGACCAATATATATATATATATATATATGAGCTATACTAAAATTTTAACCAATTTTCAGGTTCATCATCCTAGAAATATATAGGGGATTTCGTACACCATTTACATTAAATGGGACGAAATTAGATAAAGGAGCTATATCTATATCTGAACCGATTTTCTGGGAACTCAACATATGTAATTCTAGACTCAATTCAGTGCGTCATGCCAAATTTCGTGAAAATAGAAAGATATATAGGGGCTTTGGTACACCATTTACATTAAGTCGGACGAAAATATATATTGGAGCTATATCTAAATCTGAATCGATTTTCTCGAAACGTACCACACATCATTCTGGACCTAACTCAGTACCCTATGCCAAATGTCGTGCAAATCGAAATATAAATGGGGACTTTGGTGCCCCATTTACCTTAAATCGGACGAAACTATATGGAAGTGAGCTATATCTAAATCTGACACAATTTTCTCGAATCTTAACACACATCATTCTAGGCTTAATTCAGTAAGATATGCCAAATTTCGTGCAAATCGAAATATATATAGTGACTCTGGTGCCCCATTTAAATCTGAACCGATTCACACGAAACTTAGAACACATCATTTTGGATCTTATTCAGTACTCTATACCAAATTTCGTACAAATCAAAAGATATATAGGGACTTTGGTGCACTATTTAGATAAAATCGGACAAAACTATATATGGGAGCTATATCTAAATCTCAACCGATTTACACGAAACTTAGAACACATCATTCTGGACCTTATTCAGTACTCTATGCCAAATTTCGTACAAATCGAAAGATATATAGGGACTTTGGTGCCTATATCGGATGGAAATATATATGGGAGCTATATCTAAACCTGAACCGATTTTCACCAATTTCAATAGGGATTCTATGCATATTCTCAAAAGGAACCATGTGTCTATCTCGTTTCATTTTGTCTGTTACAAACATGCAGACCAATTGGTCTTTATAAAGACCTGTGGTCTCCATGCAGAACAATTGGTCTTTATAAAGACCAGTGGTCTCCATGCAGACCAATTGCTCTTTATAAAGACCTGTGGTCTCCATGCAGACCAATTGGTCTTTATAAAGACCTGTGGTCTCCATGCAGACTAATTGGTCTATATTAGGACCCATGGTATACTAATAGAAGGTAACAGCAAGTGTTGTTGTACAAAAAACGATACAACAACCACATGGAAATTTGTTGTTGTAAGTTCTACTAGTGTCAACTCATTTGACAGAAAAATGTAAACAAACAAATAAATTATCATCAAATTATTTTTATTTTGAAAATGAAATATTTTCGAATCCTCAAAATAAAAATTGAAAAACATGAATGAAAATCTATCAAATTTATATTTCTATCGCTTCCACATCTTTCCTATAATTGAGCCATTGCCATATATATGTGCAACACATATGAAAATGCTGGGAATAGCGAGCTATTCCTTGAAGAAAGATTTGCTTCCTCAAACTTTCCCAGCAGGCAGATTGAGTAAATTGAATACGGGAGCACATTTAATAAAGAACAATTTCAAATTGTATGCGTTCCCAATTTTCCTGTTGGGTGATTTTTAAAAACATAATTTGTCAAATTCATATTGACACTAGTATTACGTTGGAATCAAATCAGCTGGGATTTGCTGTTACCTTTTATAATTGTACCATGATTAGGACCTTAGTAATTTCTGAGGTCCGTATATTATATAACAAATGGAAATAGTATATAAAAAAAAACTCTGAGGTATGAGCTACAGCTGCATTGTAGTAATCCATAATATTTCACCATCTGAGCGAAGACAAAGTCAATGGATTTTTGTCTCTCACTGTTCATGGTATCTGGTGGCCGATGCATGTCAAATTATTCGAATCGACTATGATATTCCTTTTCAAAATCACTCTACCATCCTTTTAGCATGGATGCAAGTGGTTGATTTGTATTGGATGCTGAGACTTGTTCGATGTTGTTTTTTGCATTTGTATTTCTTTAACAGAAATTTCATTGTTGTTGTTGTTCTCGATCGAAAGCTGGCCCACATCTGCCATCTTTGCGTTGTGAAATTGATAAGAATGAAAAATAATATTTATTAAGTAAAAGGGTTCATTAGCTTAAATTTGTTTTAAATGGATCATTACTTTGGATTGCTGGCAGGAGCAAAAACAACAGCAACAACAATAACGGTGCAAAGTAATAATTGTGTTCAACTACACTTGAAGAAATTTGCTGGGAATTATTTGAGGAGAACAAATTGAGATGAATTATTTAAATTTCCTGTAAATAAAAAATATCCTCAAGGTGGCTTTGCGATTTTTTTCTATAGAAAATGTTGACCTCGGCGTACTGAGGATGTTCTTATTTTTTTTTCTCTGCCTACAGAGAAGTTTAAAATTCTTTGTTATAAAAAAATTGCCTTAAACCTGCAGATGCCCTAGAAAAATTTTTATAAAAAAATATCCTAAGCTTTGAGTTTTTTCTGTAACATAATTCCCCTATAGAGATCCCAATCAAAATGTCGTTCATGGTGTTTTTTTCCTATGTTTCTCATGTACTATTTTTCTCAGTGTATTTACGTTATATAATTTCACGTGTTTAATTTTTAATATCGAACCTACCTTATGTTTTTTGTTTTTGGATTTTCCTTTCTGAAATATCAAGAAATGTGAAAGGAAAAAAATAACACTTAAACCTCACCCTAATTCCTGTCCAAATCCCCTCCATAGTAG